TGCATGGGTAGACAGACACTCAACCACTGAGCCACACCAGCCGGGCTCTCCCTCTCCCTCTCTCTAAAGTCAATAAACAGCCCTGGCCGGTTTGGCTCAGCAGTTAGAGCATCGGCCTGCGGTCCAGAGAGACCCGGGTTCGGTTCCCGCTAAGGGCACATGCCTCGGTTGCAGTTTGTCCCTGGCCCTGGTTGGGTTGTGCAGGTGGCAACCACTCGATGTGTCCCTTTCACGTCGATGTTTCTCTCTCTCTCTCTCTCTCTCCCTCCCACTCTATCTGAACAAAAAATGGAAAAATGTCCTCGGGTGAGGATTTTAAAACATAAATAAATTTAAAAAATAAAGTCAATAAACATATCCTTATATCCTCATATATATATGAGCCCTGGCTGGTGTGGCTCAATTGGTTGAGTGTCCCATGCACCAAGAGGTCTCGGGTTTGATTTCTGGTCCGGGCGCATGCCTGTGTTTCCGTCTCAATCCCCAGTAGCAGGTGTGCCGGAGGCAGCCAATGGATGTTTCACTCATTGATGTTCCTCTCACTCTCTCAAATCAATAAACAAACATTTAAAAAAAAATACATGGGAAGCCCAGCCAGTGTGGCTCAGCAGTTGAGTGTCGACCCGTGCACTAAGAGGTCGCTGGTTCGATTCCTGGTCAGGGCACATGCCCAGGTTGTGGGCCCGATCCCCAGTGAGGGGCATGCAGGAGGCGGCTAATTGCTATTCTCTCTCGATATTTCTATCTCTCACCCTCTCTAAAATCAATAAAGAAAAAAAAATTTTTAATAAATAAAAATAATACATGGGGAAACTTTGGGGGGTGGTTGATGTTCATTATCTTGATTGTTGTGGTTTCATGGGTGTACACTTAGGTCACAACTCCTTATATTGTACATTTTTCAAGTGTGTAATTTATTATGTGTCAGTTATACCCTAATAAGGATATATTTTTTAAGTAAGCAAGGAAACATTTAGAACATGTAATTCACCTGCCCCCCCAGTCACTGACTTCTCAACACATTTGAAATGAAAGCTGAGGTCCCCAGGCTGGCCTCTGCTTTGCCATCATCGCCCACCACTTGTTTCCTCCTTTATTCTGTTCCCTCTTCCCAGCCTCTCTGCCCTTGGAGTACTCTGCCTGCTCCCACAGCAGGGCTTCTGCTCTTGCTGTTCTTCCTTCCTGGAACTGTGCTCCCTGGATTTCACAGAGAGCCACATGACTCCCTCACATCCCCTGGGTTTCATCAGATGTCACCTCAGACCACCCTATTTTGATACAGTGCCCTGCTACCTTTCAAGCCTTTGCCCTGCTTGTTATTTATAGCACTTAATGCTCCCTGTCATCACATTATATATGTATTTATTTTCTGTCTTCCCCATTACAATGTGAGCTCCCCAAGAACAGGAATTGTGTCTTTTTATTTTCACTGCTGTATAACTACTTGGTGTATAAGACAGCCAGTACTTACTGAAATAATTAAGTGAATGAATGAATAAAACTCAACCAAGGCCACATTGCTGGTACGTGGCAGTTGGAACTAAAACCCAGACCTGTCTAATGCAGATGTGCATAACTTTACCTGATAGGGGACACAGTTCTTCCAGAACTGCCCTGTGAGGTGGGCACTATGATTTGCCTCACTTAACAGAAGGTAAAGCAGGGGTGAGGAGGGGAAATGACTTGCCCCCAGGTCACATAGGCCAGCTGACATCTCGATTCAAGTGCCAGGCACATGACCCCAACAGTGTCTGGGAGAGGAAGTTCTAAGAGTCTGATGCTGACAGTGCACTGCCCATGGGTGCTAACCATAAAGGTTTGGGGGAAGACGGTTCAAACTGCATTTCAAGCTGTTTCATACTTCTCTGCCTTTCGCCAGCAGCCCTTCTTCCCTGATCTCCGAGCTCGCATTGTCCTTGGAGACTAGTTTCAGCATCACCGCCTCCAAGAGGTCGTTTCTGACCCTGGACCTCCTCAAGTCCTGCTGGATTGTGGTATTTGACTGACTGAAAAAATAGCACTTACACTTTTATTCATTCATTTAATCATAAATATTTACTGAATTTCTACTTTGTGTTAAGCACTGAGAATACAATTATTGGCCCCTGCCCTCAAGAGGCGCGATCCACCCTGGCCGGTTTGGCTCAGTGGTTAGAGCCCGCAGACCAGGAGTCCTGGGTCTGGTTCCTCCTAAGAGCACGTACCTCAGTTGCAGTGTCCCTGCCCCAGTTGGGGTCGTGTGGGTGGCAACCAGTCGATGTGTCTCTCACATAGATGTTTCTCTCTCTCTCTTCCTCCCTCTCTTCTCTCTGCTCTATCTGAAGATAAATGCAAAAATGTCCTTGGGTGAGGATAAAAAACAAAAAAGGCTTGATCTTAGGAGGGAGACAGATATTACAATGGACAAAACAGCATGTGACCTGTTGCTGAGGGGCTTTCTGAGGGCAGGGCTCTAACCTGAGGCCTGACGTAGGTGGTCCTTAGCCCTCTGAAGAGCTGAGAAAAGGAAAGATTCTCAGCAGGGCTGGAGCTCAGAGCACCAGTGGAGGCTAAAGAAGGGGCTGGAGCATCTTCAAGGACCTGACACAAAAAATATTTTCCTGCCCAATAGAGTGGGGTGGGAAGGACATCCTGCTGGAGGAATAGGTGAGACAGGTGGGAGTGGAACAGACTCTCTTGGTTTGGGCAGAGCCAGGGGAGAGGATCCCTCCAACATACACACACCCTTCCTGCGGCGTCTCGTCTCGTGGTTTCTAGATTCTCAGGCATCTCTCCTACTCCTGCAGGTAGGGGGCAAACAGAGATGGGCTCCTCAGGCTCTACCATGTAGGTGATCAGTGGCCAAGATTGCTTAGAGACCTGACAATATGGCTTCCCATTGTTTTGTTTAGTTATCCAGAAGAAAACCTGGGCCTTCTCAGATCCCCAACCTGTCTAGCCAGGAACAAAAATAGCAAACATGGCCTTGGACTTGAGTAGACTTGGAAGCTAATCTCAGTCTTTCTTGCTGAGTGACCTTGAGCTAGTTATTTAACTTCTCTGAGCCTCAGTTTGCTCATCTGTAGAACTGGCTAGGATAACATCTACTCACAAGATCATGTGAGGAGGAAATATAATGATGTGATGGTTGCAACGGTGACCCCACCCCACCACTTTGCCGAAACAAGTTAGACTGGTAAAATCCGCCTATTTGGGACCAGCCAGAACTCCAAGCCTTGATGCCCTGGATTGCCAGAGGGCCAGACTGGAAAGGGTGGAATAGATCGTTGAAGCAGATTGAAACGGTTAATAATGTTTTAACAAAATTAAACTCCATTCTGACCAGTTATTCCTGCACGTAAACACCTGAGCAGTTTTCTAAACACCCTGGGACTGACACTCAGAGGAACCGTGAAGATAAAGGGTTAATGGCCTTGGAAAACTTGGAGGGACCATAAAAAAGAAAGAGATCAGTGACTGCCCTAATCTCTGTAACAAGCTTCTCCTACCCTGCAACAAATTCTTCCCTTGCTTCTGTAACAGTTCATATCAGCCCCGGCACCAAGCGGTGCCAAGGGAATGTGGGCGGTTTTTTTTGTTGATTTTTTTTTTTTTAGTTTCTGTAGTTTGTGGCTATAAAAGCCAGAGAACAAAAATTTCAATGCTGAGCTCTCTAGGCCTGGCCTGTCCTGCACACAGGTGTATGCAATAAAGCCATTTTGCTCCACACTGGCTTTGCGTTGTGGATGTGACCTCCTGCTGCCTCAGACCTTTCACAGATGTGTCTGCCTTACTTTTGCCCTAACCCAAGGGGGATGTGACTACTTGGTCCTCTTGGGACTTTGCTGTCCCCTTTTGTGGCATATTGAGGGGGTAATAAAGAGTGAGACAAACCCAGATGTGAGTCCCGGCTTTGCTGTATGACCTGGGACAAGCCACACATCTGAACCTCCCTCTAAAATGGGCACACTATGCCCTGGCAGTTTGGCTCCGCGGTAGAGAGTCAGGCCACAGACCAATGAGTCTAGGGTTCCATTCTTGCCAAGGGCACGTACCTCGGTTGCGGTTCGTCCCCAGCCCAGGTTGGGGTCATGTGGGAAGCAACCAGTTGATCTCTCTCACGTCCATGTTTCTCTCTCTCCTTTTCTCTCCCTCCCTCCCTTCCACTCTATCTGAAGATAAATAGAAAAATATCCTCAGGTAAGGATTAAAAAATAAAATAAAATGGGCACACTATGGTCCTCACAAAGGGTTGCTGCCCACAAAACATAAGGAACTGACCATCTGACCTCATAAATGGTAGATGTCCTGTCCACAGGCCAACTGCACTCCCAGTGCAATTCCAGTTGTCTGTATCTGGTCTGCGTCTTCTCCCACAGACTGTGTGCCATCCTCTCCCTGGGCCTTGGGGCCCAGCACAGGCAGGCAGGAAGAAGCAGTGGAGCCTGTTGAAGGTTGATCCTGAACACTGAGCAGAAGGCCCCAGGTCAGGGTCAGTGGAGCTGCAGGGAAGCTCCCAACCCCCATCCCGGGGCAGGAAAGGAGCACCTATAAACCATCAACTTTCTAGAGGGGTGTCTCCAGGTCCAGCAGCAGGGACCCAACTGGGGGACTAACAGGAGAGTGGGACTGGAGAGAAACCATCCAACAGATAGATGAGTGGGTGCCTTGGGCAGCTCTAGCACTGTTAGTCTCAGGCCAGTGTGTGCTGGGTTATCGCTCCTTCCAGTCCCCCTTCTGACTTCTAGTTTAATCTTTTCATCCTGTGAAGCAGGGGTTACTATTAGCCCCATTTTACAGAGGAGAAAACTGAGGCTCTGAGAGGAAGTGATATGCCCAGGTGTTTTCACCTGCCAGCTTCCTCAGGGGTCAAACTTTCCTGGCTGCAAACACCCCAGGCTCCACAGTCCTTGTGCTGGTGACCAGTAGCTCAGTGGCCGCATGGCGCGGGGCGGGGCCACCCTTCGCTGCCGTGGGGCAGGGCGCGGGGCCGGACAGTGACACCGAAGCAGGCTGGAGGAGAGACTCCGGCCATGGAGGCGGGGGGCTGCCGCTACCAGTTTCGAGTCGCGCTGCTGGGGGACTCGGCGGTGGGCAAGACGTCGCTGCTCCGCCGCTATGTGGAGAGCGCGCCTGGGACGCTGGAGCGGGAGCCCGAGCCGGAGCCCGAGCCGGCGCCCACGGTGGGCGTGGAGTTCTACAGCCGCGCGCTGCAGCTGCGGGCCGGGCCCTGGGTCAAGCTGCAGCTCTGGGACACCGCGGGCCTGGAGCGCTTCAGGTGCGCGGTCGGGAGGGGTGCCGTGGATGGGAGGTGGGGGAGGAGGCGGAGAAGCGGGAGGGACCAATAGGTGAGGGACCACTGGTTTGGGGATCAGTGCTGGTCCGCCTGGCTAAGGAGGTCCCTCAGAGACGTCAGCCTCAGTGGCCCAAGTAGAGGTGTGGGTGTCATTGCCTTGAGTCTCGGGTCCTTCACTCTTAAGTCATTCAACTTACAAATACAGCTGGGTGGGCCAAGCTGCTGCGCCAGATGTTTGAGACCTGGTGCCGCCTGTTCCCCAGAAGAACATTCAGGCCTTGGGGACAAGGGGAAGCACCAGGCATTGAGACCTGGAGGGAAGAATGATGTGGGTGCTGAGGGAGCCCCAGGAGCATAGCGAGGGAGGTCAGGGAGATGGGAAAGGAGGAGAGGTTTGTGTTGGCCTTGAAGAACCAGTGGGCGTTTGCCAGGCAGGGAATGCGGAAGTGGACTTTCAGGAAAACATTAGGCCTCCTCCAGGAATGGGGAACAGTCAGGAGAGTATGTGAATCAAACTCACTCCCTAGCTGAGAAGCATGCAGTCTCTTGGGAAAGACACACAGTCCAGGAACAGAAGCACAAGGCAGTGTGAAATGAACTGCAATGGGGGGAGAGGGGAAAGGGAGGCAGTCAGTGGATGCAGGGGAGGTCCTGCCTCTGGGAGTGTCTTGAATGTATAAGCATCTTCCCCCTCGCTCTCTGATCCCATCAGGTGCATCACCAGGTCTTTTTACCGGAATGTGGTGGGTGTCCTGCTGGTTTTTGATGTGACAAACAGAAAGTCCTTTGAACACATTCCAGACTGGCACCAGGAGGTCATGGCCACTCAGGGTCCCAACAAGACAATCTTCCTGCTGGTTGGCCACAAGAGTGACCTGCAGAGCACCCGGTGTGTCTCGGCCCAGGAGGCAGAGGAGCTGGCTTCCTCCCTGGGCATGGCCTTCATGGAAACCTCAGCCAAAAATAACTGCAATGTGGACCTGGCCTTCAACACACTCGCCGACACCATCCAGCAGGCCCTGCAGCAGGAGAACATCAAGCTGGAGGAGGGCTGGGGGGGCATTCGACTCATCAACAAAACTCAAATCCCTAGGCTCCCCAGCAGGAAGCAGCATGCAGGCCCATGCCAGTGCTGACTCCGGGAGGGAAAGGGTTAAAGTGGTGCCAACCTCAGCAGTGCTGGTGGGATGGAGAGAGTGTCTCTCTGAAGGGCAAATGGCAGAATATACCCAAAGGGTTCATATAAACAGTATCCTAGCACAGTCCTGGCTCCTGGATTTTGGAGTGTTAGAGCTCAGCCCCTTTCCACCAGAAAGGGCTAGCCTGGCCCGGTAGCTCAGCTGGTTAGAGCGAGCGCTGTCCCAGGACGCCAGGGTTACCAGTTCCATCACATCCAATATCAACCATGGAACAGCATATTGATGTCTCCCTTCCTCTCTAAAATTAGTCAACCAACCAACCAAAATCTAGAGGCAGGTGTGCAGCTTGTGTTCTTGAGCTTGTTTCCTCATAAAACATCCTACTTCACGGGAGTGGGGGTGGAAGTAGGGGAGTACATGAATGAGATAATGGATAGATGTACTCAGCCAGAACCTGCCACATGCTGAGAACTGAATGACAAGAACTGTCGCCACCACTCTTCTCTTGGCTGGGATGTGGCCATTTCCAGCAGCATTCCTGGGCTGGGACGCTCAGACGCTGAGTCTGGACGCCACTGCGCAGGGAAGGATGGGTGCCGGGAATTTCAGGGGGAGACTCCTTAGGTTCTCAGGCTTGGATGAGCCTGAGCATGAGATGAAGGGGTGGTTGTTGCTGCCCAGTGCCCCCAGTCCAAGGCCAGGAGCTGGATCTGCATCTGGGAGGCAGGGTTGAAGAACCCATAGCCTCCTCCTTACCCCCATCCTCACCACCACCACCCGCCCCAGCTGCTGGGAGTGCTGTGGGATGAGGAGCCACACTCCCTGAGAACTCCCCACCCCTCAGGGGCAGCCCACATCCACTGTGAATCTAATGGGGGAGGGTATTCACAGGCCAGGCCTTCTTGTCCCAACTCTGAAGGTCAAACCTGCTTTATCACTCATTATGGAGTCCACTGAAGCCATTGTTGTGACATCACAGATAAATCCTCTTCTGGTCAATCCTGTTTCCTTCCTTTCCTCCCCTAATACAACTGACCCTTGAACAGCATGGTTTTGAACTATTTGAACTGTGCAGGTCTGCTTATACGTGGATTTTTCCAATTGACCCACACAGTTTAAACCCATTATTCAAGGGTGAACTCCATGGTTGGGAATCCTTGGATATGGGGGTCAGGTGTAGTTACATGCAGATTTTCTACTGCACAGGAGGTCAGCACCCCTAATCCCAGAGTTGTTCAAGGGTCAACTGTAAATGTTGACACTAATAGCCATCTCAGAATCTGCCTCTTAGAGAACCTAATTTGCAACAGAAACTGCTCAGCAGGGAATATCTTGGAGCAATTAAAGACTTTATGGAGGAGATGGTGTTTGTGTTGCAAAGGATCACAAGTGTAGAGAGGGTGTCTTGAGGATGTCATTGTGCCAGTGAACATGGGCAGTTGCCACAGCAAAAAGCACACTACTTAACTTTGTGACCTGGAGCCAGTTACTCCACCTCTCTGAGCCTCAGATTCTCAGTAACAGGTGACTGACCGTCCCTCCATCCTAGGGCTCTTGGGAAGTTTTCAATGAGAATGAGTTTCTTAGTTTCCTCTCCACGTGCCCTGCCTTCTCCCTGCCTCCTCTTCTTCTTTTTTAATGTTTTGAAAATTGATTTCAGAGAGAAGGAGAGGGAGAGAGATAGAAACATCAATGTGAAACATCAGTCAGTTGCCTCCCATACAGGGATTGAAAACCGCAACCTGGGTACGTGCCCTGACTAGGAATTGAACTAGCAACCCTTATGTGCACGGTACCATAGCCAACTGAGGGCTCCCTGCCTCCTCTCTTTAAAAAATCTTCACTCACCCAGCAGGTGTGGCTCAGTGGATTGAGCACTGTCCCATGGACTGAGAGGTCCTGGTTTGATTCCCGGTCAGGGCACATTCCTGGGTTTCGGGCTCGATCTCCAGTGGGGGGCAGGAAGCAGTCGATCAATCTCTCTCTCTCTCTCATCAATGTTTCTATCTCTCTCTTCCTCTCTCAAAAACCAATAAAATATGTTTTTTGAAAAAATCTTCAGCCCTGGCTGGTTTGGCTCAGCAGTTAGAGTGTGAGCCCGCTGACCAGAGAGGTCCAGGTTTGGTTCCTGCTTAGGGCACGTACCTCCATTGCAGTTTGTCCCTGGCCTTGGTTGGGGTCCTGTGGGTGGCAACTACTTGATATGTCTCTCTCACATCGATGTTTCTCTCTCTCTCTCTTTCTCTTCCTCCCTCCTCGCATAAATGCAAAAAATATCCTCAGGTGAGGCTAAAAAAATCTTCACTCATCCTTATGACAATTTTGCAAGGTTGGCACAATTATCCCCAGTACTATCCCCATGGAAAGCTTGGGCCAGTAGAGGGGGAAATGATTTGCTTTAGAGCATATTACTATTCCTTCATCAAATTTTTATTTATTTATTTTAAGCTTTATTGTTGAATGTATTACAGATGTTCCTCATTTTTCCCCCATTGCCCCCCCTCCTTCCTCCTTCTGCCCCCCTCCTGCCATTTCCCACACTGTTGTCTGTGTCCATTGGTTATGCATATAAGTTCTTTGGTTTATTTCTTCCCACCCCCCAACCCCCTTCCCTTTGAGGTTTGTCAGTCTAGCAACCAATTTGTACTTCTTAATCCCTTCACCTTTTTCACCCATTCCCCCAACCCCCCTCCCATCTGACAACCAACAAAATGTTCTCTGTATCTATGAGAATGTTTCTGTTCTACCTGTTCATTTTGTTTGTAGATTCAATTGTCTACAGACATGTATTCATTGCCATTTTGTTTGTTCATATATTTTATCTTTTTCTTCAAAAAGACCCTTCAGCCCTGGCCAATTTGCCTCAGCGGTTGGAGCGTTGGCCTAGGGACCAGAGAGTCCCAGGTTCGGTTCCTGCTAGGGGCATGTACCAAAAAAAAAAAAAGACCCTTCAACATTTCATATAATAACGGTTTGGTGGTGATGAATTCCTTGTCTGGGAAACTCTTTATATGGCCATCAATTCTAAATGACAGCTTTGCAGGCTACAGTAATCTTGGTTGTAAGTTCTTGCTTTTCATCACTCTGAATATTTCTTGCCACTCCCTTCTGGCCTGCAAAGTTTCTTTTGAGAAATTAGCTGACAGTCTTATGGGAACTCCCTTGTAGGTAACTAACTGCTTTTCTCTTTCTGCTTTTAAGATTCTCTCTTTGTCTTGAACCTTTTGCATTTTGATGATGATGTGTCTTGGTGTGGGCCTCTTGGGGTTCATCTTGTTTGGGACTCTGTGCTTCCTAGACTTGTATGTCTGTTTCCTTCACCAAGTTAGGAAAGTTTTCTGCCATTATTGTTTCAAATAGGTTTTTGATTTCTTGTTCTCGCTCTTCTCCTTCTGGCACCCCCGAGATGCGAATGTTGGCACGCTTTAAGTTGTCTCAGAGGCTCCTTACATTATCCTCATTTTTTGGAATTATTTTTTCTTTTTGCTGTTCTGATTGGGTGTTTTTTGCTTCCTTATATTCCAAGTCGATGGTTTGCTTCTTGGCTTTACCTACTCTACTATTGAATCTGTGTAAATTATTCTTTATTTCAGTTAGTGCCTTCTTCATTTCTGACTGCATCCTTCATTTCTGACTGGTCCTTTTTTATGCTCTTGAGGCCCTCACTAAGTTCACTGAGGTTCTCACTATGTTCACTGAACATCCTTATAAGGAGTATTTTGAACTCAGCCTCTGTTAGATTGCTTATCTCCATTCTGCTTAGTTCTTTTCCTGGGGTTTTGTTCTGTTCTTTCATTTGGAACCTGTTTCTTTGTCTCCTCATTTTGGCTGCCTCCCTGTGTTTGTTTCTATGTATTACTTAATGATGAAGTATGGGGCTAGCTGAGACCAGATGCTGCTTGTTTGAGAGAATTTAGGAAAACCTGAAGCAGGATCCAGGACAGGCCAATCCCATGGTTAAGTAACTGGCAACAGCTTGGGTGGGCCTGAATGTTGGGTGGGGCAGGGCCTCAGGGAGTCACCAGCGAGGAGCTACCAGTGTGAGCCAGGTTGCTGGAGTCCCAGATATGGCGGCTGTCTGCTGCCCCAGGGCAGGGCTCACCAAAGGAACAAAGGCCTCTGACAGCACTTCTGTCCAGGAGAAGGCCCCCTCTCCAGCCCTGGCCCCAATGCCAAACAGCTCAGTTCTTCCCTGTATGTCTCTGGCGCCCCTCGAGCCGCCTCCCCTCCAAGATTAGAGGGAGAAAGTCCGATAAGTCCGTGCACGGGCCCTTTAAGAGGAGCTGCCTGGGGCTCCAGCCGCGTCAGCCTCCCTGAGCCTCAGTTCCAACTGGTTTTTCCAGCCAGAAGTGATGGGGATTCTCTTCCTGGCACTGGAACCCTGAGTGGGGCACCTGGTGTGGGATGGGGACTTCTCAGTCCTCAGGAGGACCTTCCCAGCCGAGGTGTCCTGATTTTTATCCACCAGACGTGGGTGTGGGACCAGCCCGTCCACCTCTGCCCCTCCTACCAGTCTCGATGTGGCTGCTTCTTTAATTCCGTAGTTGTAGGACTTCCATTCAGCTTGATTTCAGGTGGTTTTGAATGATGGTGGTTCTGTAGTTTAGTTGTAACTTTGATGTGATTGTGGGAGGACGCGATACCACGTTTACCTACAAAATTTGTTTTTTTAAATGAGCATCTGCTCTGTTCTGGACTCGGGATACAGAACTGCCCTCCTGGGGCTGACATTCTAGTGAAAGAGAAAAAAAAAAGAGTGAATAAGCGCACCAAACTATTTCTAGATGTGGTAAGTGCCATAAAGACCACAGATAACAGCCCTGGCCAGTTAGAGCGTCGGCCTGCGGTCTGGAGAGACCTGGGTTCAGTTCCTGCTAAGGGCATGTACCTCGGTTACCGTTTGTCCCCGGCCCTGGTTCGGCCGTGTGGGAGACAGCCACTCGATGTGTCCCTTTCACGTCGATGTTTCTCTCTTTCTCCCTCCCACTCTATCTGAACAAAATGTCAAAAAATGTCCTTAGGTG